TCACGTCCCTGCCTGAGAATCAAACTTGTGCTGCAGTGGCTATGGATAGCTTCATAATGCTGTGCTTTAACCCTTTGCACCACCAGGGAGGGCCCAGAAACCATTATTTTAACACATTCAGATGAATGGGTTTTGTGTCACATCTCTCCATAAGACTCTACATATGTTGTATCCATGCTGTTTCAGGTATAGGCAGATTGGTGCTACCTGTAGTAAACAACTGTTTATTGAATGCGTAGTTAGTGCCAGAATCCTATTACGATAATGAATGGGGATTGTTCTGCCTCCTTGCTGGCTTACAGTATAGTGTGGAACATAGCAAACCTGATGGAAGAGGGATTCATTTGGCCCATTTTTGACAGTGACATGACATTTTTGCTTATTTTGAAGCATGATTTTGCTTGGTTGAGAAAGAAACTGACTGGAGAGAAAGCAGGAACAAAGGCCAGAAGGTGAAAGTGTTTGGCAAGGTTCAGAAATACTGAGTGGTTGGTTCCTCAGAGCTGGAACTAGATGTAGGGCGAGAAAGGCAGTCTGAGCCCATATTGTCCAGCAACTTGAATAATAAAGTTATTTTTTGTGTGTTTTGGCTTGAGAAGACATGATTATTTTTCAACTATGAAATTATAAAATGATAGCTCCATAAATTGTGATGATGGTAAAATAGCCAAACTGAGTTATTTAAATATTAATTGGAGTCCTCAACTTCCATATGAAAGGTCTGTTGATATGTGATTTTTACATGTTTGAAACTGAATTGTCTAATGTGCTAATTATAGTAAGAAAACTCTTCACAGAAACTTGTTTATATAAAATTTTAGAAGGGGAACAATGGTGCAAAAAACCAAACAAGTAAAATCACCCAAATTTTACTCCCATTTTGGGGGTGTTAGTTTCTTACATTTGTTTAAATTAGGGGTTTCATACACAAATGCCTCACATCCCTGAATGCCTGTAAGTGGAAGAGTATCCAGGTCTCTGAAGGCCAGATGAATGCTCAAGACCTCCTAGTAAAAGACTGACTGGGCCCAGGTGAGTTGGGGCTGGGAGTAGCTCAGGCCTTCTCTCAGGAAGTCATGAATCAGCCTTGTAGACAGGTAGAGTTAAGTGCTAGTAGAGTTCTGACATTTCTCCAAATTCTTTCAGTACCTGAACATTGGCTCAAAATTTGAAACATCAGCCAGACCTAACAAAACATTTGGATTAAGATCACTCGTCTATCTCTATTTTAATTATCTGCTCTTAACGCTTTAAACTAGCCAAAATATTTAAGTGATTTAAGTATAAATCTCATTTGTATACATTTCTCATTTGCTAGGGCAGAGACAAGACTTTCAGAATTGCCATTTTGAAGGTTAGAATTGCAGTAGTCACTTTTTGTGCAATAGCCACATTTTATTGGGTGGCTTTGGGAATACTGAAAGTAGAGTGATGGCTATAGCTAGACAAGGGAGACTGATGGAATTTTTTTTTCCCCCCTGGGAGATTTTAGTACTTCTAACTCCAAAAAAAATAAATCTATATTGCCCCATTTGGAAAACTTAAGCGTTTTCACAATTTTAGAGATTTTAAAGATCTCGAAAGAAATCAGTCTTAATACAAAATGTCTTATTTCCATTTTTGAAAAACAGCTTACTTCTAGAAAAATCACAAGGTAAGATTTGAAAATCTTTAAAAGCCTATTTTGTATTTTCTTTTTATGTTTCAAAAGGAAATGGCCAAAAAATGAGATTGAATATAATAAGATCATGTGAGGTCTGTTCATATCCATGTGTCTTTAATGTTGAAGAGCATAACTTGGTTTTAGACAAGCAGAGGACTTGAATTTAATATTCAATATATGCTGTGTATTGTCAATAAGTAATGTAAATTGACAAGCATGTCAGTTTTGTCACTTTTAGCTTGGGTGGCAAAGAGAGTCTTAAAATCAGTATTAGTGGAATCAAGTGAGTTGTAACATTAAGACTGTGCTTTGTAGTAAGTCACATTACTAACATTTATTAGGAATTTTTATTTTCAAGTGTGATTGTTTTTCCTTGTTTTTTTTTTCCCTACCAGTTAAAATGTTGAGGATGTTTTCTACAGTTAAAAGTAATAAAAGATAGTTTGTGGCCCTCCCTGGTGGCGCAGCAGGTTAAAGCACTGCACTATGAAGCTGAAACCACTTCCGCATGAGTTCGATTCCCGCCTGCCCCGGAGGTGACCACATGGCGTGGCAGACCTCTCCTGACC